ACAACGATCTATAGAGCCAGTCATCTGGAGGAGTTTGAGGACTCTAACTCTACTTTAATCCATAAATAAACCCCATGTTTGATAACTGGCATCAACAACATCTGATACATCATATTGATTTTAATATTTATACCTATCACTACTCTTAGTTATTTGCCACTTAATATTGATTTTTTTAACATTTTTTAGGAGTCTGTACATAATGAGGGTCTCGGATATTAGTACTCCAAATAAACTATCTGACTTTTAAAACTACTTATACTTTCTTCTCAAGTAATACAAACTTAATAAAATTTCAACTACTCCTTTTTTAACAATTTGCTGTTTATTATGGTCAATCATGATTTTTTAACTACGTGTATTGCACATGTATCCCACCAAGCACATAATAAAATGATAAGAGTTTGGCCATGTTTCACAAATCTCATTTTATGCAAACCTTACAAGAGGGACAAACAATCTCTTGTAAAAAAAATTAAAAAAAAATCTTATGAGGGTCCAAAAGTAAGTGGGAATATCTCAAATTTTTCCTATTTTAAAGTGAAATTAATAAATAGGTAAAATTTATCCTTATAAGGAAAAACGCACTTATGAATTAAAGTGAGTGAGTTCCCATCTACTTATAAAGATCTTATGGGCTTGTGATGGGTAGAAGTAATATGGAAAATACTTCTTTAGTGTTGGGATTTTTAGATCTCGGAAAAACTCTGAAAACTAACAAACGCAGTAAGTAGAATCTCACACAAGATTTAATATGGAAAACTCTCAACATGGAAAAATTACGAATCGAAAAATGATCCACTATCGGCTCCAAAATATAATTTTTTGCATGGACAAAGACGGTGAAACCCTCTCTCTCTCACACTATCCTTGAATTGAGTTACACCCTCTATTAAACTCTGACTATATGAATATTGTGTCTCTCTCCCCCTCTACTAAAAAACCCTAGAATAAGACGTTTTATTTAAAGATACCCCTGACTCGTCTACCAAATTAACTTGGCCTCTAAGAAAATAACTAGAACTAGACATAGCCTTCAAATCCAAATCCAATTTGGAGTTTGAGTCGGTACCCAACATATCATCCCTCAACAAAAAATCTCTAAGTATTTTCACAGCTTCAGAAAAACTCACTCTTCTTCTTGTTCTTCACCTCTGCCTTGTGAACAATAGTCTGAAAAAGTGTCACCTACACTATTAACAAAATGTCCATCTAAATAGCAAATATGATTGCTATTCTTCCTTCCTCGCAAAATTAAATCATCATCTCTATAGACTTTGCACCACTCCTCTTCACCCACATACTTGTACCCATGCAATGTCATCTCACCCAACCAAATTAAATTAGCACCACATGATGGCACATATCTCACATTACGAATAATTCCAATCTTCCCAGTGTGAAGCTTGAGGAAAACACTCCCAACGCCTTCAGCCTTCATAATCTCGTAGTTTCCAATGATCACATCACCAAATTCTTCATCTCTCTTCAATGTGTCAAAACACTTCTTGTTGTTGCAAACATTCACAGAAGCTACAGAATTTAACACCCAAATGTTACTCACATCAGTCGGTACTCTTCGTCATCAACAACACATTTTCATCACACGCAATTATCGAAGAGTCCTCCTCCTTTCCATTTTCTTGAAGCTGCATCTGTCTAATGCAATTCAAGTCATCTCGCATTTGGGAACATCTAAACTGAATGTGACACTTCTCTCCGTAGTAGTAGCACTTCCTTTCGCTGCCATCTCGGGCCCAAAATTTTGATCCTCCATGATAATTGTTACATCTCCCCATGCTCCTCCCTCGATTAGAACCTTCAAAATCTAGTGCTTTCTCACCACTACATGCACTCTCTTTTCCCATCGTTCTCTCATTCTCTTGTATGAGTGTGCTCTCACCACTACATGCGCTCTTTTTTCTAGTCATTCTCTCATTCTCTCGTATGAGTGTTGTTACATCATTAAATTTTAAAGTCTGCTTCCCCACGATTATCGTCTAAACCAATGGCTTATACAACTTTGGTAGGGAAGATAGTAGGAGTAACACCTGCTCTTCTTCTTTAATTTCGTCATTAATATCCATAAGTTGGAAAATTAACTAATAAAAGGTATTCATGTGGTTTTGAATAGTAGTACATTTTTCCATCTTCAATAAATAAAACTCTATCCTCAAACACAATTGGTTGGTCATCGACTTCGACACATAAATCCCCTCGAGCTTGTCTCACAGCTCCCTTTGTGTGATCTCCTACATAACGTTGTACTTGATCTTGGGAGAGTGCCAAATAAATTGTGCTAACCGCCTTCTTTTGCATAGAACTCCATTCACCAGCATCCTTCATCCCTTTTGGCTTTCTTTTCTCCAAAGCTTGATCAACACATTGTTGCACTAGAAGATCTTCGACCGTACACTGTCATACTGTAAAATTATATTGCCATTGAATAGCATAATATCGAACTTTGAACCCGAAGATGTCATCATTCTCTAACCACAACCAAATTCAAATAAGTTACTATAAAAGTTGAACTTGGAAGATATGACATTAAAAAATGAATCCAACATGTCGAAAAACCCTAGGAACGACTTTTGGATCACTAAAATTCACATCCAAACCCTCTATCGGCTGACAAATCAATCAGATCTTTACATTCCCCACATGAAAATTAAGCATTTAGGTGACCTCATTTTTGATGTTGTAACGCCCCTGATTTTTACACTGGCTGTAGTTCAGGGTAAACCCCAGAGATGTTAGGACCTGCTATGCACCCTCCTCTGAGGTTCACCCTGGACTACAGCTAGTGTGAAATCAGGGGCATTTCAACTGTTGATTTCAGCCACACAAAAATCACCCCTTAGAATTGTTTTCATGCGGACCCACCTTTCATGTGTGTAAGATCACGTGCTAACTTCTTCCTCTACTTTTTCATGCGAGCAGAAACCGTTGATCCCACTTTTGCCCCAATCGACCGCTGCCGAGATTTCTGACAATTGACGCCTTTCAACCTCCTCCGACTCTGGATAAATGCCCTGAGCCTATCTGAACCAAAATCTTCCACGAACCGTTGAACCTCATTCTAATATCACTTGTTGGGATTTTTAGATCTCGCAAAAGCCCCAAAAACTAACAAACGCGGTAAATAGAATCTCACACAAGACTTAACGTGGAAATCTCTCAATATGAAAAGACCATGGGATCGAAAACAATCCACTATCACCTTGAAAATATGATCTTTTACATGGACAAAAACTGTTGACCCTTCTCTATCACAATACCCTTGAATCCGATTACGCCCTCTGTTAAATCCTGATTACAAAAATATTGTATCTCTCTCCTTCTCTACTAAAAAAAATCCTAGAATAAGACGTTTCATTTAAAGACACCCCTGACTTGTCCACCAAGTCAACTTGACCTTCAAGAATACTACTAGTAATGGGCCAAGCATTTAAATCCGAATCTAAGCTGGAGCTTGATTCGGCACCCAACATTTAGGACAATCTACAAACTCAAGTCTTTGAAGAATATTCCAGGTTATCTAGGGTTTGCTTATACGGTCACGGGGCAACCTTAGGTTCTCAAAGGATTAATCACACGTAGACCCTTGCAGCATTGATGTTTTGTAATTGCTGTCTTTGTAGTTTCATTGTTGCAAATAAACCTCGTAGGTCAAATTTTGCTGACTCTTTTATCCTTGGATGAAATTTCGGAATATAATGCCCGTGGGTGAAATTAATGAGTACACCTAAGGACAAAAGAGCAAAAAAGAAAATTTAGCTCAAGCGGTCTATCAACGACAATGGAACAACGGAGGTAGTTAGTCAATACAAACATACTATAAGGCGTCTATTTGCAATTAACCCATTCTCAAATGATGTAGATTGGGGTTGTATCCAAACCCGTACCAATTCAGCGTGACACTCTCTGCTTTGCTGCCCGCTCTATTCACTGATATTGATTGCATTGATGTAAACTTGGTAATGCGACATGTATGATTTACTTCTTTTCATGTATGATTTTCAGTAGAAGGCCCACTTTAGGATTTACTTTTTCCTCTAAGGGTGTTTGTTTCAAATCCTATAATTTTAGGATATGGATTTCACAATGTGATTTGAAATCCATAGGTAATTTGTTATGGGTTGGGATTCCTAAAACTTTGTTTGTTTCAATAATATTTTAGGATTTTGAATACTATAATTTGTAATATTTTTGTTTGTTTCAAACTTTTTGGAATTTAAAATCCTTAATTTGTCTATTTGTAATATTTTTGTTTGTTTCAAACTTTTTGGAATTTAAAATCCTTAATTTGTCTAACACTTTTGAAATCCACCCCACATCCCACCCAAAAAAGATTTGGAATTTAAAATCCTTAATTTGTCTAACACTTTTGAAATCCACCCCACATCCCACCCAAAAAAGAGAATTTCATAAATCCTTAAATTTCATATTTTTTTATTATTTGGGGATTTGATACTCTAAATTTTGTTTTGAAACAAACAAGTTTTTATGGAGTTCTAAAATCCAAAAAAACCCACTTTTTGATCCTAGAATTTAAAATCCACCCAAATGCCAATTTTCTTTTGAAACAAACACCCCCTAAACCGATGCGAAAGTATGAATGCAATGGACCCCTTTATTTTCACAATGTGAGGCTCCACTCTAGACAAACCCCAATATTGTATTTTTTTTTTTCTCAAACTCTAGGTCACCTCAAAAAAAAGGACCAACAAAGTTAAATCCTGTATTAAACAAGTAGGATTCACCATGCTAGCTCCCATAAAGAGCCCTATTTGAAAAAAAGCTAAGCACAATTATTGCTGCAACTAACACCACGTCACCAATAGTCACTGCACACCATCAAAGCAAAAATAATTCTAGCTGTTTTTGTCACCGTTTCAGTACTCTATGTCCCAAGGACTTGAGAAATAAAGTAATATACAGTTCAGTACCAATTCAATGAGGAAGGCCAGCTCAATGGGAAAAGGTGAGAATTCACATGGTTCAATAAAATTTTCTTTTGTTGAGCTTCGCCCCCTTTTCTTGCACCAAACTCTGCTGCTCAGTTGACACATGCCCTCATCTCATTCACACCTGCATCCATCACTTCGATTCTCATCTGATATGTTCTCTTTCACATCATAGAGAGAGAGAGAGAGAGAGAGAGAGAAGGCTCTTTCGCTCTCAATTTTGTTGTGGTTAAGCTCTCATCATCACCAAATATCGCTGCTGGTTACTTGGTAAGTCCTCCCTGCAAATTTAATCATCATCCCATCTGATCAACAATGAATTTGTACAGATGATTCAAACAGCATGACAAGTTCTGCTGTTCTAGCCCTCTATATTACAATTTGTTGCGTTGCATTCATTATATCGAAGATCATAATCTCGGTGCTCCTATACAAAAGATGGGCGAGGAAGCGTAGGATTGTTGAAGAAAGCTTATCAGGTTCATTTCTACTTATACTTATAACGATAAATCTGAAACATTATTGGAAGTCATCGATGATGACTGATTTTATGGTAACAGGTGGGAAAATGGTGATGTTTCGGTCTCCGACAACACAGTCCATAAATTCAAAAGCTTTCATGAAGACGATGATGAAGCTAACAAACAAAGACATTATCGGCTCTGGTGGATATGGCACGGTGTACAAATTGACCATAGATGACATGGCATTTGCGGTGAAGAGACTAAACAAGGGACGCACAGAGAGGGATCTTGGATTTGAAAGAGAAGTAGATGCAATGGGTGATATAAAGCATAGAAATATTGTCACTCTTCATGGATACTACATAGCACCTCAGTTTAATCTACTGATATACGAGCTGATGCCAAATGGAAGCTTGGATTTATTCCTCCACAGTAAGTTGTGTTTTCGCTCTTTTGGATTTTTTTAGAATTCAGTTATCAGGAGGTTGAATTTTTTATGCAGGAAGGATGCGTGAAGAAAAACCTCTGGAGTGGCCAACTAGGTTCAAGATTGCATTAGGAGCAGCTCGGGGTATAGCGTACCTCCATCATGACTGTATTCCTCATATAATTCATCGAGACATTAAATCGAGTAACATACTACTAGATCAAAATATGGAGGCGAGGGTATCTGATTTTGGATTGGCAACATTGATGGGACCAGATAATACTCATGTTTCGACTGTTGTAGCTGGAACTTTTGGCTATCTAGCTCCTGGTTTGTTTCTGGATCTGCAAATATTTAAATGGTTTCGAACTTCTGTTATAATTCACGTCCTGATAATGCTGAAGTTTCTTCTCTAAATTTCTTCTCGTCGCTCTTTCAGAATATTTTGATACGGGGAAAGCAACGACAAAGGGAGATGTCTACAGCTTCGGTGTGGTTCTGCTCGAACTTTTAACAGGAAAACAGCCAACGGATGAATCATTTATTGAGGAAGGCACGAAGTTAGTCACCTGGGTAAACCCTTGAACACCGACTGTACATAAACATAGTAGTCAATTGACAATACTTTTTGAGTTTCCTTTCTCGGCATTTTATCTTTAGGATCACATCTGTTAAAGTAAGAGAGAGAGAGAGAATCTTGGGTAAATTTCCCTTGAATTGAATATTGAGTGTGCACATATATTTATACAAGTAGAGGAGTGTGAGGTTTGTTCTCCCAAGCAATGTGGGACTAAAACCCACTACAATACACTATTATCAACAGCCCCCTTCAAACTCATGTTGGATCAAACAAAGTGAGTTTGCGTACAAGAAACTAGAACCGATGAACAGGTAAGGCCTTTGTGAAGAAATCTGCAAGCTCGTCAGCGGATGAAACATGAGGAAGTAGAATTGTCTTGTCCTTGATAACTTGGTGACGGACAAAATGAGCGTCGATCTCAATATGTTTGGTCCTTTCATGAAATACTGGATTATTAGCAATCTGGATGGCACTCTTATTATCACAGTAGAGAGGAGTAGGAGTCGTAACAGAAATACCGAAATCACTGAGAAGGCGACGAAGATGAATAATCTCTTTAGCTGTTGTGGACATTGCACGATACTCTGCCTCAGTACTGGAAAGAGCAATAACATCTTGTTTCTTACTTCGCCAGGAAATAAGGGAATCACCAAGAAATATACAATAACCTGTGGTAGACTTTCTGGTAGTTGGATCACCAGCCCAATCAGCATCAGAATATGCACAAAGCTCTAACTTAGATGTAGCAGGAAACAAAAGTGAGCGAGTGCTAGTACCCCGGAGGTACCGAAGAATCCGTAATAAGACAGCATAGTGTACAGAACGTGGGGCACTAACAAATTGACTGACAATACCAACAGCATGAGAGATATCTGGTCGAGAGATGCACAAATAGACCAACTGACCAACAAGATGTCGATATCGGGTAGGATCAGATAGAGGCTCACCGTCAGTAGAGCAAAGTTTGACATTCTGCTGGAGTGGAGTATCGACAGTTGTATTATCAGTTAACTCAGCTTGATTTAGAATATCTGAGAGATACTTCTGTTGAGACAGTAATACACCCCGCGGGCCTTGAGAAATTTCTAGACCAAGGAAATACCGAAGAGATCCAAGATCCTTCATGTGGAACTGTTGTTGCAACTGAGATTTTGCGTATTGTATACCTGTCATATCATCACCTGTAATGATCATATCATCTACATAGATGAGTAATAAAACCCTGCCACGCGATGTAGTGCGAACAAACAGAGAAGCATCTTGATGACTTTCTATAAAGCCCGCTTTGAGCACAACATCGCGAAAACACTCAAACCAAGCGCGGGGTGCCTGTTTGAGACCATAAACAGCACGACGAAGGAGACATACATGTCCCGGAGGAATATTTGACCCTGGAGGCGGTTGCATATATACGGTCTCTGATAAAGAGCCATGAAGAAAAGCATTTTTGACATCCATCTGGTATAAGGGCCAACGATGAGCAGCAGCGACCGCAAGGAGAGTACGCACAGTGGGCATCTGAGCAACAGGAGCAAAGGTCTCCTCATAATCAATACCTTGTTGCTGAGTAAAACCTCTAGCCACTAAACGAGCTTTTCGACGTTCAATGGTGCCATCAGGACGAAACTTGACCTTATAAACCCATTTACTGCCAACAAGAGAGATCCCAGGAGGACAGGGAACAATATCCCAGGTATGAGTTTGCTGAAATGCTTGAAATTCCTCAGCCATAGCTTGTCGCCACTCTGGAATTTGAACTGCCTCTTGGAAGGACTTTGGCTCAACAATAGTATGAATGGCAGCAAGAAAGTTATGAAAGATAGGTGAATAAGAAGTAACAGAAGCATACCGGGCAGGCATGACATGTGGGCGTTTGCCTCGACGAAGAGCAAGAGGAACCTCAGGCGGGGGAGATGCTGGCGCAGGTGCATGAAGATCAACAGTATTTTCTGGAGTGAGAGTTGTGTCCACAGGATATGGATTAGATGGTGTAAGAGAAGACTCAGGTGAGGAAGAGTCAACAGAAGGAGAGGGAGAGATGTCAGGGAGATCTCGAAAGGAAAATTGAGGTGAAGAAGTGGGTGATGCAGTGGACGGGGAAGCATGATCGGTAGAGTGGAGGAAATTAAAGTCATCAGAAGTAGAATAATATGGAGAATCCTCTTCGAACTGAACATGACGAGATATATGAACTCGACGAGTTGCGGGATCATAACAACGATAACCTCGATGTTCTGAACTAATTCCTAAATAAACACAAGAAACTGCTCTGGGAGACAATTTATCACGTTCGTGAGATGGCAGAAAAACAAAACATCGACAACCAAAAACGCGAACTAGATCATAACGGGGAGGATGAGTATAAACACGACTATAAGGAGTAGCACCGGAAAGAGAGCTAGATGGAGTGATATTAATGGCATGAGTCGCGGTGAGAATAGCCTCAGCCCAGAAACGACGAGGAACAGAGTAAGAAATGAGCATTGATCGGGCAGTATCGAGGATATGACGATGTTTGCGTTCAGCAACACCATTTTGCTCATGAGTGTAGGGACATGACTGTTGAAAGATAGTCCCATGAGAGGACATGATAGAGCGCATGGCAGAGGATAGGTACTCTTTGGCACAATCAGAACGAAAAACTTTAATACGAGATTGCCATTGAGTGAAAATCATAGCAGTGAAGGCTTGATAAGCAGTAAGTACGTCAGAGCGATTCTTAAGTAGGTAAACCCATGTAAAACGAGAGAAATCGTCGATAAAACTAACATAATATAAGTAGCCAGATGAAGAAGGCAAAGGAGCTGGCCCCCAAATATCAGAATGTACTAAATCAAATAAGGAAGTGGATACAGATGTACTCATTTTAAATGGTAAAGCAGTGAATTTAGCCAATTTGCAACCAGCACATGACTCAATACTAGAACTAGATGATACAGGACCAAGTACTCCAGACTGAATAAGACTCTCCAGCCTTTTATTACACACATGACCAAGTCGTCTATGCCATAAATTGGCAGGAAGCGAGGTAGAGGGTTTTGACGAACAAAGAGAAGCAACAAGAGAACGTGGACGTATGGACTCTGGAAGGTGAAGATATTCCAGAAAATACAGTTTGTGCCTCCTACGACCCGCCCCAACCGTCTTGCCCGTCTGTGGATCCTGCACAATACAAGTATCAGAAGAAAATGAGACAAACAGGCCCGCCATGCATAAAGAGCTAATAGAAATTAAATTCAAGCACAATTGTGGAGCCACATAGACGGGACCAAGTGTTAGACGACCAGATGGATCATTTTGTGGGGTAATAGAGCCATACTGAGTAATGGACAATGGTTGTCCAGCAGCTGTGTAGATAGGAGGAAGAGAGGATGAAGTAAAGACAGAGGATAAAAGTGAGGCATTACAAGTCATATGAAAGGAACAACCAGAGTCAAAAATCCAGAGATCATTCATACCAGAGACTGAAGGATTAGCTGAAGAACCAGCAAAATGCATACCAGAGAGTTGTGCGGCGGATGTAGAGGTGATATGTTGAAAAGCATCAAGTTGACGGCGAAGACTTTCAATAGCTTGAATAGTAGAGTCTGAAGTAGTAGAAGGTATAGCATTGGCCAACAATCCTGGTGTACGAGAGGGTTGAGACTGAGGGGGTCGCCGACCACGTCCAGTACCTGAGGAACGTAACTCAGGATGAAGCTTGAAGCATGTCTCAATGCGGTGTCCTTCCTTCTTACAATATTTGCAAGAGAGCTTAGATCGAGCCTGTGGAGAGGGAGCCTGTGGAGAAGTATAATTCATAACAGGAGCAGTGACAGGTACAGACAAAACAGTCTCGAGTGAAGAGGTAGGAGTGTCTGTTGACAAATTGAGTCGTGCTGTCTGCTGCCGGGTCTCATAAGCAGTGAGAGCTCCCATAACTGAGGCCAAAGTCGGAAATTGAGGCTGGTGAAGTAGTTGATCAGCCATAGTTGAATATTCAGGAAGGGACTGAAACAATTGATGCACCTCATGCCGTTCGTACCAGGCTAGCCAGTCTTCATATGTGGAATTACGTCCAGGAAGCATGGAGCGTAACTCTGTCCAAAAAGCTTGCATTTGTCCAAAATGGGACTGCAGAGATGAACTACCTTTGCGTTGTAGAGAAATGCGTTGCAGAAGATATGCCTCCCGTGCACCCGAGCACTCAGTGAAACGCTCAGTGAGACGAGTCCACATGGCCTGAGCAGAGGGAAGCGAGCCAATCTCGACAGTGAGACCAGAGCCAACACAGCGAGTGAGATAATCCATAACACGAAATTCCTGCAATTGCCACTCTGAACTCTCCTTGACATAGAGAGCACGAGCAGTCTGAAGATCGACATCACCACTGCCAGAGGCAATAGTACTGGATGAAGCAACAGTGCTGATGGACGGTGGAACTGGTCCCGTACTGGTGAGATGATCAAGCAAACCAGCGCCACGCAAGGCATTGGTGACAATGGTGGACCACCCTGCCCAGTCACTTTGATCATTGAGGGGCAAAGGTGGTTTGGGAATCTTCTCTGAAGGAGCCATAACAGCAATCTTGAGACGTTAAGATGTCGAGATGCTGTTACTAATGTCGTTCGTTTGAGGCCGAGAGACGGCTTGAAACGACGATGCCGTTAATTTGAGACCGAGAGACGGTCTTGAAACGACAATGCCGTTAAAATAGAACCCGAAGGTTAGAATGAAACCCGAAGGGTTAAAATAGAACCCGAAGGTTAGAATGAAACCCGAAGGTTTAAAATAGAACCCGAAGGTTAGAATGAAACCCGAAGGTTTAAAATAGAACCCGAAGGTTAAACGAGAACGCGAAACGCGTTAAGAGGCCGCAAAACGACAAGGCCAAAATATCTGGCAGATGAACGCCAAATAATTAAAAATAAAAATAAAAAAAATAAAACATTAAACGGCTGCAAAGCAATAAGGCCAAGATTTGGCAAAAGAACGCAAAAGCGTTAAAAATTTT